TTATCGATATCGAATATTTTTCTTTATTAAGAAGAGCAACTCCAACGATAGCCATAATAACGCAACTTGAACATTTGCAGCCACGCGTTCTTCCTCGTCCTCCGGCCCGCAGTAGTGAGTCGTGTGCTTAGAAGAAATCTGCCTATACGCTCTCTAGTGATTATATTCTCTATGGTTTTATCGTTTTTATATCACAGACCAACAAATAAAGATGTTCTACTAACACGTTCGTTAGAAAAAGCACGCTAAACACGTACTCACGTATATGTGAAAAATCATGTGCAACCGACAACTCGGTTTTAGATGAGCTGTGACAGATAGAAAGAATTGTCTGTGCATAAGGCATGTAAAGAAGCTGTGCATGGTTTTAGAGTCACTTGAGTTGCACGAAGCTCTCCGTCTATATTTCTTTGTTGGTTTCAGTTTTAAATGGATTCTATTCTCGTGTGTCAATCAAGTTATTTGGAGTAATAGGGGAACTCCCTTTAACCTTTTTACGTCATATATTCTATGATTATTATAGTGTACCTATTTACCAAATATAAATAGTTGTTTTATTTTTATTTAGAACCTGTCTAAATAAATTTAATAAATGTCTATTTTAATAAACATTTTGGTGTGCTTATGTCTGCGTGTATTTTTAGAACTAATGAGCATAAATTAAATAAAACAATACTTACATTGAGTCTATTATGGTGCAAAAACCTTCAGCGTTGTTACATTTAACTTTTTATAAATTTTATTTTTAGTTTGATTTACGTAAATGCATTGACTATATTTGTGAGTTAAACAGCAGGGTGTATAGAACATTTATATTTTGAAATAGATGTAATGGTTGGGGGTTCACTTGTATTTCTTTGCTCTACTTTACAAAATAACCCAGGGCTAATTTGTAAAATTAAATTTCGTCTATAAATTTTAAAGTAAGTTAATAAACAGGTTCAAATCTCAGTAAGGAATACTGCTTAACACTTTTTAAAGAAGTCGACGTGAATCTGTGCATCGAGATCGTATTTTACAAGCGGTTATCATTAAGAGCTTTACCGTACTTGCTTACTCTCTAGAGAACAGTACCCCTATTTCCTTTTGTGTTTATCGCATTTTTTTACATTTCTTTTTAAAGGAATTTACGTAATAGTCTGAACAAACGTAGCTTTGTTGTGTAAATTCCAAGATAAAAGGCAAATAAGTATGTCCTGTTCGATTTAATAAATAATGGCTAATATGAATGTTTTGTTGTATACTCGTAAACGACGTTAGTAGTTATAGTATGATATAAAAGGTTAGGAAGTACCTACTTAAGTTACTACCTTTAAGGATTTTGTTTTTGATGTTTGATATAAAGTAGTAACAGTTTTTATTTTACTTCAGTGATTGTTTGGTCGACAGTTACAGCTATTTATGCATTTAGCAGTCGACGTATTCTATATCTTTATGCTGTGTGGGTGAAAATAGTGGAACATCTAGGTGAGGTGTATGCCTTGTAAGACGAACGCATACTTTTGTTTTGCAATCTTCTGAGTAGCAGCTGCTTTTAATGTATTTCGAACGCAACAGTACGCTACTTACCTTCGAACGTTCTTCGCTTGGGACTTAGGATTAGAATCTTATGCTTATTTACTTGCATAAGATTTTTTTATAAAAATTTGAATTTGATTTTGAATATATCTGTTGTATTTTTTGTATTTTTTAATAATTTTGATTCTTCTTTGACGAATTAGTTGTTTTTAAGATATTATAATGAATGGCGCGTAGTGTTTATAGAACTTGTATTTTTATTCCACGTCTGTTAAGTTATCGTGATAACAATTGTACATTGAATAAGTTGAGTGCATATGTCGTAGATTTAGGGTAAAATCAGGTATTTGACAAAAACCTAGGCTTTTGATCAAGAACTGGAAGAAGACAAAACTTCTACTTATCTTCTATCTTCTACTTTTATCATAAACCTGACAAAATCTAGTACGCGATAAAATCCGTAAAAGTAGTTTTAATCATGTATAGTGTTCGCGTAAATAAAAGAAATTATATATATATATATATATATGTAATCGGAATCTCGGAAACGGCTCCAACGATTTTCATAAGATTTAGTGTCCAGGGAGTTTCGGGGGCAATAAATCGATCTAGCTAGGATTTATTTTTAGAAAATGTCTTTTTGTCCGTGTTTTCAGACAATGAAACACTGCTACAATATTAGAAGGTAAATTTTAACACTGTTTAAATGATCGTAATAGCTCAAGTGGATATCGAGCTGTCGCGAAATCCTAACGTTCGCGTCCCGCTTCGGTTCGACTTTTTGTCCTTTCTTTTTTAAGTTCCCTTCTTTTGTGAGAAAATCTATTATTTAGAGCCCTTTTTTAGTATGTTTTAAAAATATATAAACAAATAAACTAATCGCACTCATTATTTTTTATTCAAATAACCAGTTCAGTTTTTTCTATTATGTCAATGAGATCAAAAAATATTATTCATGTAATTTGTATCTAAATGTAATTAAAATAAAAACCGAGCAAAACTCGGTCATCCGGGTACTATTATAAACGTGACTTTTCAATTTTTCTTGTAGATTCCACATTATTAAGCTACACATAATTTTAATTTTTATTATTGCTTGTTACTTTTATTAGACTTATTTTTACTACTTAATTGTAATCATGATTGTTCCTGCATGTGTAATTGGATTTGAAATAATTTTTATTGTGGGGTATCTATATAGTTTTCTCATCTGGTTGGGTTCTATAAATATATAATTATAAATGAAAATGAAAATATAAATATCAATAACATAAAATAAATATAAAAGTACATAAATAAATAAAAGCCCAACCAGATGGAGGCCCTCGGCAGGGGACACCAAACGGCCGAGGGTTAGGGGGAAAGGGAATGAAACCGGCGGACGATGCGGGCGGTATCGAGGAGCACCGCCTTCTGCATTTGAACCTGGAGCGGTCCGCCACGTAGTCCCAGCCGCCTCAGATGACCCGAGAGGCTGACTGGGATTAGCCCGTTTGCAGAGACGACTACAGGAATAATTTCGGTCGGCAGATCACCCCACATGTCGGTCACCTCGTGAGCCAGGTCCAGATATTTTGTTTGCTTGTCTGTTTCGGCTTTCACGAGGTTCTCGTCATACGGAATGGTAATGTCGACCAAAAATATCCTTGACTGTGCCCGGTCCATCAGCACAATATCAGGCTTATTCGCAAGAATAGTCCTGTCTGTGATGATGGCCCGGTCCCAATAGAGCCTGGCGTGATCATTTTCGAGCACGGCTTCCGGCAAGTACTTGTAATACGGTATTTTCCGATCCACGAAATCGTATTTCAGAGCAAGCTCCTGGTGTAGAATTCTGGCTACTAGGTTGTGCCTGTGCAAGTACTCAGAGTTAGAAAGCGCCGAACAACCGGATATAACATGCCTAAGTGACTCACCGGGATGGCGACAAGCTCGACAGATGTCTACCATCCTTTAGGATGTATCTCCGATAGTTATTGGTCTTAATAACCTGATCCTGTATTGCACAGACAAAACCCTCGGTTTCCCCGAAGAGATCACCAAAGCGTAGCCAGTGGAGGGAGACTACTGTGTCTACGAAAGGCTCATGTAGAGCCTTGTAGAACCTCCCGTGGAGCTCCTTCTCCTTCCATACGGTCTCCCGGTCGGAAATGCTCTGCACTGCCGGGTCTTGCCATTGCTCGTTGGCTAAGGATAGAGGGGTAAGTCCTTTATCACAAGAAATGACGTCCTTATAGAATGGATCATCCGATCTCGCCAGGAAGTAATCACGGAGGCTGCACACTTCGCGATTATGCATGGTGAACGCGCTCAAGAAGCCACGACCACCATGCTTCCGCGGCAAGTACATCCTCATTACCGACGATCTCGGATGATGCATCCTATGGGACGTCATGGTAGTGCGGACTTTTCTATCCAGGGCGTTAAGTTCAGTCTGAGTCAACCTGAGTATGCCAAAGGTATACATGAGGACAGGCATGACCCAGCCGTTATATGCGTGTGCCTTATTCACACCGGACAAAAGGCTGTTAAGCACTTTGGTCAAGCGTGCATAAAACACGTCGCAAACTGACTGTTTCATACCAGTCTCATCGATACCGATGTTTTGTGACATACCCAGGTATCGGTATGTTTCAGCCTCGGAAAGGGTCCTTAAGTTGACGGGCATAGATAAGTCTACACCCTCAGAGTTAGCAACCCTTCCCCTTTCAACATGGAGGACCGCACACTTATCCGTCCCAAGCTCCATTCCAATGGAATTGCTAAATTCACAAGTGATGTTTAGCAATTCCATAAGATGGGAGCGACTGGAGGCGAATAACTTGAGGTTATCCATATAGAAAGGGTGGGTCACTTTTGTCCCTCCTTTCCGTAGCTGAAATCCCCTCCCGGAGCCCTCCAGTAAGGTACTGAGAGAGGCAGAACCAGATTGGACTCAGACAATCGCCCTGGAAGATACCCCTTCTTATCCTTATGTGGTTCTCCGCAGCCATCATCCGCTCACCCAGATGACAAAGGATCGTACTCCACTGCCCCATACACTGCTCGAGGAAGTCTCTAACTGTACAGTCTATCTTGTACAGCTCGAGGACTTTCTTTAGCCATGTATGGGGCACCGAGTCGAATGCCTTTCTGTAGTCTATCCAGGCGGCGGAGAAGTTCCGACGGTTGCGTTTCACCACTTTGCCAATGACCGCGTCAATGAGGAGTGGTTCCTTGGTTCCACGACCACCGCCCCGACATCCATTTTGAGCGCGCGACATCACCTGATTTGAGTCCAGGTGACAAGTGATTCTCGCGCTCAAAATGGATGTTAGTGTCTTGTATATGGTCGGTAGACACGTGATGGGGCGGTATTTGCTCGGGTCTGTGGTACCCCGGTCTTTAGGAACCAAATGAGTGATCCCAGTAGTGAAGAGGCTTGGGAGCGACTTCTGGTTGAGAGCCTCTTGAAAATGTCGGGCGAGCACAGAGTGACACACCATGAACCCCTTCAGCCAGTAGTGATGCAGCCCGTCAAGCCTTGGACTTTTCCAGTTCGGGGCCCTACGGACCGCCTCAGCTACGTCATCCAGCGTTATGATGACGGGGTCCATGGGCGTAATATCCGCACACTGACTCGCTACAACTTCCGTCCAAGGGCCCTCGCTGTGGTTTACGGGCTCTGACCACAGGCCGCGCCAGAATGCTACAGGGTCGGCCCGATTCGGTGCTGGACCCGTTCCACTTACCATTGGTCGCTCCAATGATTCATAGAGCCTCTTCTGATCACTCTGGAAGAGACGATTCTGGTTGAACCGTGTCGACCTCTCGGTATATCGCCGAATCCGCTTTCCCCAAGCAGCGATTCTCTGCTTCAGATCATCTATGCGCTCCGTCAGTTTTTGCGTTATATTCGGCTGGGACAAACTGACATTTGTCCCAGCAAACGCCATCCTAATGGTGTGCACAATTCTTGGCCTGTTGTTGCCTGATCTGAAGCATATCAGTCTGCCGATGAGAGCTCTAGCCTTTGCGATACGTTCTTCAATTCTTATTCTCCGGGCTGGGATAGCACTACTTTGTCCAGTAGCGCGTCCAGCTGTGGAAAGTTTGGCACCTATAATACGGCAGACTGCCAGTGCGGCGCCAAAAAGAATTGAGTCCGTATCGCAAAGGTCCCGGCTGGCTTCCAAATAGGTAACCAGCATTGGGTTCAGAGCCCTCACCACAGCCCGATTCCGCTTGCTTAGGGCTAAGCGGGGAAGTCGCGGTCGATTTTCGAGAGTCGTACTGCGCGTTTCCACAAACGCCTCTTCCAATGTACTCCTCATTTGCTCTAGTTCCAGTTCCTGGGCGACTGTTCCATCATCGTTCGAATCAACCACAACTGGCGTATTCACGGCGGCATCCACATTTGCCGTTTGCTCAGCAAGTTGTGGCGCCGCATCCTCAGCCGCAGCATTTTCACCCGATGAAGGAACAGCCTCACGTCGTAGCCGTTCGAGTTCGGTGACATCAAATGTATTTGAGCGCAAGATATACCGAACTCGGTCTGCCAGGTTTTGCTCGGTGACGGTTACAGATGGCTCCAGCTCATCAAAAAGTCGATGCATCCTTGCCCGATACGCAAAACCTCCAGTTTCTCCCCCTTTCGCCCTAAAATACGCCCGCAATGCGTTGCTGTTCATCTGGGTTGTCCAACGCATGCTGCGTACTCCATCAGTGGCGGGTGCCGATTGCTGAGCCCGCGAAGACCCTGCCGACACCAAGCCAGCTGGTGGGGATGATGGATGCGAGGAGCTGCTGGGTGGTCGTGCAGCACCTCGCGCTCGGCTGGCGGTTCGCATGCTGTCGCGTCCAGCGCCAGCTCCAGACGCGCCCTGGCGACCTCCAGGCAGCGGCCCTTTGCGCGTTCCATTTGATTCCATCATCCATTTTAGGGCGTCATTTAGCGGGAGACGCCCAGACCCGGTGCCGTTTCATGGTTAGGCCATGTGCACAAGCGGGCCTTGGCACCTTCAATTTTTGCCGAGGCACGGCACTAACACCTCTTGGCAAGGTGCTGACTGACTGCGCCGACGTAGCGGTTTTGTCACATAACCGTTATATCAGCGGGCGATGGGGTCGTCACTTCCCTACGTTATTATTATTATTATTATTATATTATAGATTATAAATTAGGATATAGTATCAGAAACACAAAGGTTATCACAATGCCGCTACGACCGAGTGCAAACCAATAATTTGTACTTTGGGTGCCAATTCATATTCGATCAGCAGCGTAGACGAATTTAGGTTACACTGATTATCAAGCGATTAGTTTTATCATAGCAATAGTTATGATTTATAATACTTTTTCTTAAATTTGAGATGTTTAAATCGTCGCACTAACCATATGTAATAAGGCTTTCCTTATCGCTGTCTAACTATAAAACCATCCCTGAGAATAAAAATGAAAAAAAAATTGGAAATGGAACTCAAAATCATCCAGAACATTGCGACAGATTTTGTAGAGTATAATCCCATCAAAAACATAAATGTGAAACGAGAGCCAAGTTCAATATTATGATATATGCCTTGGTTGTTGACTTCAACGATCTCACACGAAGAAGTGAGATCTAAATGGGTTTAATTAATTAATAATAATAAAATGAATAAAAAGAAAATGTGGGATATATTAAATACGCTTACTGATAGAGTCTGTAAGTCAGTAGATGAAGCTGTAACCAAAGCATTCAAGAAAAACAATCTAACCATAAAAATTATAGCCAACAATTTTGGTAAGGCATTCTGCGAAAACATCAAGAAAAGTTGCCTAGGTGCAGCAAAAAACTTATGTCAGAATCGGAATACATATTTCCTGAAAACAAATCAATGTTATTTAAAAAACCTAGTAAGCGCGATATATTAACTATTATAAAAGGTTTAAATGCAAATAAATCGGCTGGTAATGATGGAATCCGATGTTTTGACGTTAAGATGCTGAGTGATAAGATTGCTAATATTGTAGTTAAGCTGATATACACGAGCAAGTAGGAAAATATCCACTAGAATTGAAAACCGGCATTGTAAGACCAATTTATAAAAAGGGATCACATAGTGATTATGATAGCTATAGGCCTATAACAATACTGTCAGCCATAGATAAGGTGGTTGAAAAATATGTGGCTCAACAAATTCTCAATTTTTATACTAGAAACTATATATTATCAAATGCTCAATATGGCTTTCAATCTAAGAAATCCACTACTATACTGCTGTCTAAATTCACGGAAGAAATAAACCAACACCACAATGATAAAAAACATGTTATATTATTATTCATCGACTTTAGTAAAGCATTTGATACTCTTAGGCACGATATTCTTATAAAAAAAACTTGACAATACAGGTATCCGCGAGCCATTATTACAATGGTGCCGAGATTATCTCAACGATAGAAAATACCGGGTTAAGATAGGCAATGCTTTCAGTGACGAAATATTTGTAACTATTGGAACAGCACATGGCATCGTGCTCGGACCCTTGCATTATCTAGCGTACGTGAATGATATGGAAAACACATGTCTTATAGCAGTAGATAAAGATTTAGCGAAGGCTGAACACTTTTTACAAATTGATATCAATAACTTATGTAAATGGTCTCATGATGTTGGTTTAGTACTGAATGCTAGTAAAAATAAAATTATTCATATTCGATCTAACTACATACGCAATTTTGATAAGAAAATCGAAGTAATTGCGCATAGTCATTAGTGCTTGCATGATTTTCAAACAAATAGGACCGGATGCAAATGTGAGTTGTTAGAGCAGGTTCCCTATTACAAATATTTAGGACTTGTAGTCGACAACAGATTTAACTGGGGTTATCACATTGACACAATATGTGAAAAACTAAGAGCAATGCTAGCCAAATTTGCTATCTCGAAATACAAAGTACCATTTAAAATACTACTAAATTTATATAATGCACTCGCAGAGTCAATCATTTCATATGGCATCACTAGCTATGGTAGGACGTTTAAAACATATTTGGACAAAATATACAGCCTACAACTACGGCTTTTAAAAATAATAATACCTGATAAAATTAAAAATCAATCTGCTTCGGAGACGATGTATTAGATTTATTTAAATATTGTGGGATATTGCCTGTTCATATTAAAATAAAATTGTGGCTATTAATTGAACAATTTACAAACAAAGAAATACAAATAAATATGAATCATAAAACAACGACACGGAAAGTAACTCAATCAAAATTAGAATTACTAAGAGTTAGAAATTATTACGGAAAACGAACGAATGCGTATTTAATACCAACCCTCATTAATGATATGCCTACTAAAATCCGACTGGGAATAACGGACAAAAACTATAAAAATAAATATAAGCAATACTTTAATTCTTTACTTTAGTAAAAAGTAGTCTAATTTTAATGAAATCTAACCTAATGTCATATTCATAATCAAAACATTCTCTATAACACATTCAAGTAGCATAAGCTGGCCGGCCGCCTACCTGCCGCGCCGAGCTGCTTATCTATAACCGGTTCCTTTACGTCCACTTTTATGTAAACAATGTACCCATACTTCATACTGTTAATACTATATTTGATGTTCTTAAAATTTGTCTGTTGTTAACATCTCTTGAAACTCCTAATTGTGAAGGGATAGTTCCTTATAACTTGGTGACACTGGTAAAAGTAAAAATCATTCGAATTTATAACAAAAAATTACTTGTTTATAATCCACGCTGAAAATCACTGGAAATATAAGCCAGCGTTAGTCTTTTCAACCGATTACAAAGTAGATTTCTCAAGTTTTTACCATCTAGGGGTGCATTGCTGTGCAGCCCTAGATGGTAAAACCTTGAGAAATCGTATCTAAAAACGTATCTTCAGGTGGGATTATAGTCAAGCGTTTAGTGGTTTATTGGAAAAAGTAACGTTTTGTAACTGAAATATCATAGTTTGTTCACACACAAAGATTATGAACAATGTGTCTACATGCAGACTCTTTGTTAGTAAAATCGTTCAAACCTACAGTGTACATTGCAGACTTGCATGTAGTTTAGTTTCAAACAGATTGAAATGCATTCTCGTTTCACTGAACTAGCATCACTAGCCATTGTGTTCACTTGCGAAATCAACTACAGCTACAAACCAACTGTTCAACTTATTTAAAATCTAAACATATTACGTTATTGGGTGTTTGTATATTAAGATTCCCGGAAAATTAAAATAAGACGTAATTATATCGTTTTAATTGCTGTTCAAATCTAAGGTTCGAAATAGACGTATTTAATGCCTTATTACGTTATATCAGAATACTTGACATCCCAGACAACCCCGAAAAATGAAGAAAAATGTTAGAAAGTGCAAAATGTTAAAGTATTTCATCAATTTAATAACACCATTGACTAAATTTAAATAGGATTGCTAAGAAATTTACAGTGAGAAACAAGATGTTGAATTGTATAAAATTTTGTATTTTATAACTTATTTTAATCATTTATATTGTCATTATTAGACTCTTGCTGTTCTGTTATACTTAATGTTTGAAATAAACGTATGTATCATTATTATTTTCATCATATAGTAAATATAATTTTATCATATTTTACATGTAGGTAACTTAATTATTCTTCATCAAGGTTATAAAGAAAAGTTCATGTGAAATTTTATGATATTAATTATAGAGTAAAATGAAGAACCGGTTAAAGATGATTAAAAACTAGATCCACTTTTCGTTGCTTTAACCATTCAATATAGTTTTGGTAAACAAATAAAACTAAACAATTTGATAAATATTTATCCTATTCTTTAACATAAGCCCCTTACGGCATGACTTTTATTTATTGGTAAAGTTTTATACAAGTGTGTCATATCAATGTTTGTTGCGCCAGAATATGCAAATAAAAGTACAAATATCAATGTATATTTTTTAAATTTTATGTAAATACAATCAATCATAATCATTATCATGATAATAGCCCCTCATAAGTCCACTGCTGAACTTAGGGCTTCCCCAAGTAATGCCACAAAGCACGGTCCTAAACCACCTGCATCCATCGACTTACTTTATGTCTTATCAGATCGTCAGTTCATCTAGTTGGGGGCTGCCATTCACTTCGCCCATTAGGACGAATATGCCACTCGAGAACCTTTCTTTTCCATCGGTCGTCAGTTCTACGGGCTATATGGTCATCCCATTTTCAATATAGCTTACTAATCCATTGAGTTATGTCGGTTACTCTGGTTCTACTGCGAATATCCTCATTTCTTAGTTTATCACGCACAACTTCGAGCATATCCCTCTCGTAGCTCGTTGAGCGGCCTTAAGCTTTCTCATACGGTCAGCTTGAAGTTATCACTGGCAGCACGAATTGGTTGTACAATCTTGTTTTTAAGTTTTGAGATACACGTGACGAGATGTTGTGTCGTAATCTTCCGAACGTTACCCAGCTGAGTTGAATCCATCGATTGACCTCTTGGTCGAAGTTAGACTTACCTGAAAGACTATTTGTCCCAGGTAGTTTAGTTTTGTTTAGTTTACGACGGGCTATTTTTAGCAACTCCACGTCGAAGTGCGTTTTTTGCGAGTAGGAAGAAGTGTTAGATTGTTCGAGTCAAGAAATCTTCCCAAAGAAGTTCAATAGTCTTTTGATGTTGCAAGCAACTTTGGGAAGCGATCTCGGCGTACCGAAGTGTTTAGCGCTTTATGCAGCAACCTCCGTATATATCAGCAACACGTGAGCCGCCGTTTCCTTCCCCTGCATAGGGGGCTATCTGTAACACCTATAGTAAATCAATGTTTGTTAAAGTAGCTATGTCCTTTGGCAGCACTATATCCCGATCTGTGGCTTGTTCAGTCTCATTAGGACCTTGGTTAGACGACTGTTTATTTCAGGCAGGGCCTCCCTAGCT